GCCCTGGCTAGAGCCAACAGTAACCTCCTGCTTGCCAAATCCCATGGACACTTCGGAGTTCCCAGGTCACTTGACCCCTCATCTGCACTGGCTACTGTTGACTGCCCCCACTGGCACTCCTGTTCCCCACGCCTACCCTGTCACCTGCGCGACATTTACCTGCTTCCCAAATAGTGGTGCTCCAGGGTTCTCTGTTCATCCTATGTGGTTTCCCTGGGAAACCTCATCTGCTCTCCCGTGGCTTCGATATCATCTTCACCCAGAGAGTCTCAATGCTATTGAGCATAAGGATGATCTGATGATAATCCTGATCTCTGCTTTGTCAGGTCAGGGGAGGGGGCCGCGTTCAGATGATTCAGATGCAGGCTGTTCTCCGTCCTCAGAACACAGGATGAAACACACTGACCTAGTATTTCCCAGTACTGTACCCTTCCAAACTCCAGGCATGAATAGCCCACTACGAATAGCCCCGCTGTGTAGTAGACTTAATGTTTGCTACTGTGTGATTGACTAGGCTGTGGCAGTCAAGGTGAGGTGCCCCCAAATCCCCCCTTCGGGGAGAGACTTTTTGTCCCAGCTGTAGAAAGTGCTGTCAGCAGTCAGGCTTCACCATCGCCCTTCCAGGCCCTGGCCTCTAGATGCACAGTAGAATCACCTGGGAGGCTCCGAAACACACTGATGCCTGGGTCCACAGACCCCCAAAACAGAATCTCTTGGGCAGGGGCCTGGCAGTGGTATATTTTTGGTCTCCGCAGATGTCTGTAATGCACAGCCATGGCCGGGGAACCTCTGGCTTGAGGAGCATCCAGGCACATCCAAAGTGCTTAAGAAATCCACCTGGCAAAACATTAACCACACTCTTACTTCTTTCAGGAGCCACAGGGCTGAGCACCCAAGATAAAAGCCTTTTTGAGTTGCATGTATTTCTTCTCTGCCTTCTGGAACTCAGGTGCAGAGAGCTGAGTTTGTCCTGTTCATCAGTTCACAGCACATTGGCTTCACTGGTCCATGCAGGGCCCCTCTCTGGTTTTCTACATTTGTTCTCTTTTATCTCCATTCTCCTCCACAGGCAATCGTTCTAGTACATCTGATGTATATATGGTGGATACTTGTATTTACACACATTCTTGTACAAATGTGTCTTGCCGCTTTTTATGCCTGCATTGTGACTTTATGCAAATATATTGTGCTCAAGACTCATTCCGATTGCTCATTTTTCACTCCATCCATGCTGCTGAGGGCACATGCAGTTGGTTGTTCCTAACTGCTGCAAAGTATTCCAGCCTGTGCCCCCACCACGCTTTCCATGCACACCCCCGGTGGTTCCCATGCTGTCCCCAGCTTCAGCACCTGCAATAACCACCCTGCTTCTGTCCACTTGGGGACCTCTGCAAGAATTTATCTGGGGTAAATTCCCTCTCTCCAGTCTATGAGAGTCTATTTTAGCTCTCGTTATTTGTATGTTTTTGCATGATAGATAATTTTACACGAATACATGTGAAAAAAAATCCAAGTGCTTTGTGTAAACAAACAGAATGTGTGAGTGGTTATAAGAAAACAATCAAATACACTCCTAATGCCGCAGAAAGAACTGGGAGTCTTGGGATCTCAGTTTCATTTAATCCTGATACCCTTTCAGGCAGGATTTTAACAGAAGGGGTAGTCTCCAGTAGGCACCACTAGGTCACCTCAATTGAAATCTCAATGAAATTTAGCCATTTCTTGGCTGGTTTAAAAATGCCATTAGGTAAATGACTTCTAACTCCTGTCAGTCTTAACAGAACTTCTTACAAGCTAAATTGGGCCAAAGATGAAGTCCAGTTCAAGAAATCAGGTTGTATGCATTAAACCTAACCTCTACTGACAAAGCTAAGCAGAATCACACGTTCCAGTTTAGAAAAGAATGACATTTTGCCAAAACTCTGCTCATTATAATCATTGTTATAAGCTGAATGGAATGCTGAAAAGACTTCAACATTTAATTGGCAAGCATCCTGAGTGGTAGTAGTTCATTGAAAATCCTTTATACAGTATTTATGTTGTGTAACACACTGGTATCTATGAAATTCCCAAGCCAGATTTCTGTGTTTTAAAGCAGTTGTTACTTTAGCAGAAATATATAGGTTAATGCTGAGACTTGTGATAGTTTTTGCATTTGACCAGAAGTTTCTCTAGTTATTAAGCATTTACTCTCCGGCTAATAGACTATAGTGGTTAATACTGCAGACCTCTTACTAGTACTGTCACTTCGGGCAACATGATTATCACTTCTGTGCCTCAGTTTCCTCATCTGAAAAATAGGGATGGTGGTGGGCCCTGCCTTTCAGTGGTGGTGTAAGAATTAAATGAAATAACACACTGAAGGCACTTTGCATATAGAAAGCCCTAGAATGTAATAAGCCTTGGTGATACTAGCAAGTATCCTTGTGATGATGATTTATTTGGCATCCTGGCCAGAACTGAGGCATTTCAACTCCAAGTAATTTCTTTAGATTCATGTTCTTTGCGGCTTCTCCTATGCCTAGTCCATAGCACATGCTTTCTGACTCCCCCGGCATCTAAACCACACAACGCCTCTTCCCTTACCCATTGCTTTGGACTGTTCATCTCCTAAAATGTATCTCTTAATTTGCTTTGTCTACCCAACTAGATTTAAAATGGAGGGAAGTGATGATGTCTTCTATTTCCTTTGTATCTCAGAAACCCCTTGGCCAAGTTCAAGGACACACAATAGACTGGTAGAATATTTTCTTTTGTATTAGTTTAAAAAGACCCTTTGAAATTTTGCTAGCATAGGACTTGTACTTTCTTAATATATTCTCTCTCTCTCTCTCTGTCTATATACATATATAGTAGTGAAACCTGAATAGTATGACTTTTCATTCCCTCTTTTTAAGAAAAGTTGAGCAGATGTTTTTTTCTTGGCCAGTTCTAGCCAATTTTATTCCTTGGTATACCTGTAGTTTCTTTCTCTCCAAAGCTTACACTAGGGTCACTGTTGATTTGCTTTGGACACAGATGGATCTTCAGTTTTATCACTTTTTCCATGGAGGGACTTCCTATGTAAGTCATTGAGCAACACAAAGCCATTGTGTGTATATGTGTACATGTGAGTATGTGCAGTTGTTTCAAAAAGTCACTTCCCTTTTACACTGATTTTTTCAGCCTCCCAGTGTTCTCATACCATCAAAGGTTATTATCATACATAATTGTGAAACATTTTATGGGTAGGAAGTTGGATGCATTTCAATTGCTTCTCTCAGCCACTGGTTGATTCACGTAGTTTTCTGACAGTCAAGTTTAAACATATTGCTTCCATAAACAGGAGCAATGATTTCCACATGGGGCTATGGCCTTAACGTTCTTATATAATGCTCACTCTTAAAGTACATACTGATTTCTGTAGCTCATTGTTGCCCTTTCTGTAATGAATGTTTCTCCTTCCCACTTGATATTTTCTTTACCTGACCCAATGGGTGCTACCAATGACCTGGTGGATTTTAGTTCTATATTTCTATATTCAAGGAATTTTTGTGGACACCCTCACCACCTTTCTCTTTTAACTGCAATAATAATTTATAACTTATTTTATTATTTCATACCTTGCCTTGTCTTGGAAAGGACTCATGATGGCTAGTTTAAGACAAATTTTCCTTTCTCGTGCCATTTGTTCAATAAGTCCTGCTACCTTCTGTAAGTTTCTATTTTTTTTTGTTTTTTTGTTTTTTTGTTTTTTGTTTTTTGTTTTTTGAGGCAGAGTCTCTCTCTCTCTGTTGCCTGGGCTAGAGTGCCGTGGCATCAGCCTAGCTCACAGCAACCTCAAACTCCTGGGCTCAAGTGATTCTTCTGCTTCAGCCTCCCTAGTGGTGGTGCATGCCACCATGCCCAGCTAATTTTTTCTATTTTTAGTAGAGACGGGGTCTTGCTCTTGCTCAGGCTGATCTCCAACTCCTGAGCTCAAGCAACCCTTCAGCCTCAATCTCCCAGAGTGCTAGGATTACAGGCGTGAGCCACCTCTCCCAGTTTGTAAGTTTCTACTCTTATTTATTAGCAGGCAATGGCTGTGGGACAAAGAGAAGGCAGGACAAGGAAGAACATAAATAACACACATGACTCTTGTTATTCTTAGGATATTATTTTTATTTTATTTAAATTAATTTACTTAGTTTTTTTGTTTGTTTTTGTTTTAAGAGACAGGGTCTCTCTCTATCGCCCAGGCTGGAGTGCAGTAACTCACTGCACATCTTAGCTCACTGCAGCCTTGAACTCCTGGGCTCAAACAATCCTCCTGCCTTAGCTTCCTAAGTAGCTAGGACTATAGGCATGCACACCATGCCCAGCTAATTTTTTCTTTTTTGTAGAGATAGGGTCCTGCTCTGATGCTCAGGCTAGTCTCAAACTCCAGGGCTCAAGTGATCCTCCTGTGCTGGGCTCCCAAAGTGCTGGGATTACAGGCGTGACCCACTGTGCCCAGCCTATACTTAAGAGTCTTAATCGTCTGCTTCTACTCATACTTATTTCTTAGTCACTACCAGGGAGCAGGGACTGCTTGTTTTTCTCTGCCTTCTCCTGGTCTATGATGACCAAGGTATCTGCTGCATTGAACTTTAAATTTCACATTATCCTTATTTTTCTTTTTCTTTTTTTTTTTTTTTGAGACAGAGTCTCACTTTGTTGCCCAGGCTAGAGTGAGTGCCGTGGAGTCAGCCTAGCTCACAGCAACCTCAAACTCCTGGGCTCAAGCGATCCTTCTGCCTCAGCCTCCCGAGTAGCTGGGACTACAGGCATGCACCACCACGCCCGGCTAATTTTTTTGTATATATATTAGTTGGCCAATTAATTTGTTTCTATTTATAGTAGAGACGGGGTCTCGCTCTTGCTCAGGTTGGTTTCGAACTCCTGAACTCAAAGGATCCGCCCACCTCGGCCTCCCAGAGAGCTAGGATTACAGGCGTGAGCCACCGCGCCCGGCCTATCCTTATTTTTCTTGATTTTGACAGACTGAGTGTCCCTTTGCCTGGCTGTGAGATGAAAATCCTTGATTTCCTCAATTTTTTGAGACATGGCAACAAGGAGCACAGGGAGAGGTCGCGGACTGGCAACCCAAGAGGTGAAAGGTGAGGAGGATGGAAGAGCCCTTCATGCTTAGTCCTAAGCAAAGCCCGTAGCTAAATGACATGGACACTCATTCTCCTCCAGGGCAGGCTGCCAGATCCTTCGATGTCCTGCCGTTCTTCCCAGCTCTTACTCAGACATTTAATCAGAAGTCCTCTCAGGAATACCCGAGTGGGACACTGGAAAGGTTTGCCTTTTACCTTTCTTTCCCAGGTCCTAGCCAGGCTGATTAAAACACCCCAAATTCAAGTCCCCTCTGCTGTGTTGCTAACCGTCTCCAGTCCCAGACAGTCCTGTTCCTTTGATCTCCCTCCTCTGAGCTCGGGTGCTCTGGGGGCCCCTGGGAAGGTGGGGTGTTGTCGTTCTCCCGCTCTTTACACGCGACATGGAGTGCTTGTCATCATCGCCTTTCCAAGCTCTGCCTCCTGGTCTCAGGGTGCCACCTTCTGTAAGGCCACTCCCTGCATGCCTGCGTTTGGGGGACAATCCCCCCAGACCCCATGCTCTTGTAAAACTTTCTAACTGATAACTTGTAGATTAAAAAGCAAAAATGTGCATCAGCATCTCAACTTTTTAAAAAATCAGTATAAAAAATATTTTTTAGAACACAGCCTTAAAGGTGTCTTTTGTACTCATGGAAGTAAAAAAGGCTTATCTAGTGTGGCTCACACAGCAACTACGTTTGAGAGGCCTACACATCCTGGCAGTGGTCAGACATTTTCTCCAATTTGAATTGCAGGGGAGCCAGAACCTTTTGATCTCCTTCATTAGTGAGGCAGACCCTCATTAGCTATTTGATCCCTGGCTTGTTTAATTATGGGGTAAATTCAGTGTTCCTGGGGCAGCACCTGGTATAATAGAAGTTAAAGGCACCAACTTCGGCAGCCCAGAGGCTTGAAGTGAAATGTGGACTCTGCCCCTGTGCTAGCTGGAGAACCTTGGGCGAGTTATTTCATATCTCTGAATTTCAGTTTCCCAGCCTGAGCAAGAGTGAGACCCTGTCTCTACTAAAAATAGAAAAATTAGCCAGGTGTGGTGGTGGTGCTTGCCTGCAGCCCCAGCTACTCGGGAAGCTGAGGCAGGAGGATCATTTGAGCCCAGAAGTTTGAGGTTGCTGCCAGCTAGGTAAGCTGATGCCACGGCACTCTACTCAGGCAACAGAGTGAGACTCTGTCTCAAAAACTAAAAATAATATAAATAAATAAATAAATAAATAATAAAATAAATAAATTTCAGTTTCTTCGTTTGTCAAGTGGACATGGTCACACTTACTTGCATCCCAGGATGGTCATACAGATAAAATGAGAAAACACATGCTGTTTTCTCAGCCACGATGGGTCTGGCACAGTGCTAGGCACAGCCGTGCCACGAGGACCAGGGTGGGAGCCACGCCTGCCACCATGCTGCTTAGAAACTGGGATGGTTTTACAGACCAGTTTTGATAGATATTCTTGTTGAAAGCGATGCCTCAGCAGAGACGTGAAGGATGAGTAGGGGGTGAGGCAGGGACAGTATTGAAGCAGAGGGAACAGTGTGGGCAGAGTGCCCTGGAGCAGAGATGGGAGATCAGTGGTGAGGGTGGACAGAGAAGACTCAGCAAGACCATCGCAGGCCACAGAAGCCACTGCTGGGAGACCAGTCAGGAGGGTTTTGTACCAATTCCAATGCAGAACCCTGGTGCTCTAAGTGGAGGTCAAAGCAATGAGGATGTGGAACAGCCAGTTGATTTTAGAGAGACTTAGGAGGTAGAACTGATGGAGTTTGGTGATTTATTGGACCTAGTGGGTTCACACAACATGGCTTCAACAAATATTTGCTGAGTATTTCAGCTATTTCTCACAGTACCTTGCCTCTCTTACCTCCTTAGCAACCCTTGGGTCAAAAGAGGGCCTGGGTCAAATGTCCCCCCAAACCTCACTTGTCCTGTCCAGACCCATCCATCCTCTATGAAGTCAGGTTGCAGGCTTGGGATGGCCCCAGGCCATTCCTGGCTTTTAGAAAAGCCAGGACATTAAAAAGAACTGTCAACACTTGGGGATTTGGGAGTTGATTACTCAGTTAGTAGATTCTCTGGGTCTTTGAATTTTTCCCCTTTCTCTGAAAGCCTGCTTTGTGATCAGTGTGGTGGCCTAAAGAAAGGGTCGGAGAGGAAAAATCACCCAACGCAGCTACTGCCCTGCAAGGCAGAGGAATGAGCTGAGCCAATGGAGGAAGGTTCTGGTGGGAAAGATCCCAGCCCATAATCCAAAACTACCCCTTCCTTCAAAGAGCTTTTTCTAATCATACTTTGTATTCTTTGATGCCAAAGTTCTGTTTAAAATTCCTGATTCCACACCATCAAATGGCAAACAGAGGCAGTGAGCAACATGAGGGATAGCTGGAAAAATAGCCTAGAATTTAAGGTGTTGCGTGGACCGGGAACTGCTATGCATGTGAGGAAAATAGAGCCGCCCCTTCATGATGTTGGGAAACAGCAAGAACTTTGAGTTATTGTGAGTATACTTTTTTTTTGGGGGGGGGGCATGCTAATCTTCTTTGTATCATTTCAATTTTAGTATATATGCTGCCGAAGCGAGCACTGTGAGGTTACTTTTGATTGTCAGACATACACCATTCTGGAACTGGGCCACGTGGGTCAATATTTTGATCAGTTTCATATCAACAACAGCAAAAATAACCAACATTTACTAAATGCTAATTATGTGCGATGTGAGGCAGGGAACTTTAGCTCATTTATTCTGCACAATGATGCTCTAGGGGAACTAGTACAATTGCTCCCATTTGCTAAATAGTTAAGGAAGCTCAGGCTCAGAAAGTCGTGGTCACTCGTTCAGTGTTCCATAGCTAGTACCTGGCAGAGCAGAGCAGGAAAAAAGCATTAAAATTAGGACATTTGGGGTTTGATCAAAGTTGACAGTGAAACAGTTTATTATTTGTGGAAAGTTTTGTGTTTGGTAATAGGAAAATAATGCTAATTAGGCATTTGTGTAAATACTGTTTAATATTTATTTGAAAGCAACCACACTGTGGTCTACATGTTCTTCAAGAGCTTTGCAAGGAGGGGAAATGCCTGTTTGTCCAGTTTGGCTTTGTGAGGCCCCTGCAGTATTTACAGCTGCTCTGTGGGGACTGTGGTGCCCACAGCATAGGGAGCTGTCACGAGTTCATGGCACCTGGAGGACAAGCCAGGTGGGTTTCTGGTTGGAGTTCACCTCCCTGAGTCCATGCACTCTACATTTTGCTCTCCCTAAAGTGAGCAGTTGGTGAGAAGGATGCTGAGCAGGTCTGCAGACTGCCCGACTCCACCAGCCCAGGGCCTGGGGGCAGTTTCTCTCCTGGGAGCTCGCCTGGCCGGTTTGGCTCCGGTGGACAAGTCTGGGCTGGACGAACAGAGCAGGAAGTGCCAGTTCCTGCCCTGCACAAAGCGATCCCGAGCTCTTGGTAGAATAACCTGTCCAGCCCGAGAGGAGAAAGATCCTCAGCAAACTGGCCTGGCAGCACCGCACTGTCTCAGAAACCTGCTCGGGAGGCTCGTGCTCTCTGCCTGGACTTTTGAAATTCTGTCATCGGAGCAGACTTGGAAGCACTTTCTGATGTCACTTCTCTGGCAACGATTTTGCTCGCCCACAACTTTCCCTAAGTGAGGAGCCTGCCCAGTGGAGGGATATCTGGCAACTCATACCTCCTCTGTAGGCCTTCCTTTCCGCATCTGTGAAATAAGCGCTTAGATTCAGTGAACCTGTAGTTTTGATTCTGAATTCGTAATGGGTAGAATAGAAATGACAGTCAATGAGATCAGAACAATCGAAAAAATCTTGACTCCCAATTAAAACAGACTGAACTCAGTAGGGGACACACAGAAGGGAAGCTGTGGTTAAGACGGCCTGTACTCCACCTGGACATCCGCACGAGGGGCAAGGAAGCCCAGGCTCATTCCACACTTGAGGGAAGTCCCTGGTCCTGGTGACTTAACACAGGCCCTCAGCTGATCTAGCGTTCCCCCAGTGCAGCCCCAAGTACCAAGAGTGAAGAGCCATCAGCATTCCTGAGACAGGATCCCCTACTTTGGGTGGCATCAACGAGAGAACAGAACATAGAACTGGTGCTGGGAGAGGGCTTTGGGCCAGGCAGTCCCTCAGTCACTCCACTGGAGAGGGGAAGCCGAGCGGGCCTCCTCGTGACCCGCCCACGGTCTTGCACACAGCAGGTTTGGGGCTGAGCTCACATGCTGCAGTCTGCACGCCTCACCCAGTGCCAGAAAGGGGAGGAAGAGAATTTTCAGCTGTGAGTCACCTCTGTTTTTATCCACCCTAGGGGATCCATACGTTCTCCATGTGGTCGGGGTGGACAGCTTGCAACTTCCATGAGAGAGAGATTCAGGGCTTGTGGATTTCATTTCAGGAGCCCTTGCTGCCCCAATCTGGGCCTCCTGGTCATCTTGAATTACCAGCGTGCGCTAGTCCAGAAACCCCAAACAGTGCACGATCAGCTTCACCATCCAGGGCGAGGGAGGAAAAAGAAACCTGTGCGCCAGTTAAAAAGTCATCTTTCGGATTTAAATCAGCCTTGGCTAAAATAATCAAGGGAACTGGGAACTATGGAAAGGTCAAAGGTTTGCCGGTTTAGGGTTTCGTGGGAACATGCGCATGTTTGGACCAGACCCAAGTGCCTGGGTGACCTGTTTGACAGGTAACAATTAGAGAGTAAGAGCTCGCCGGGCTGGAATGTGGCTGCAGAGGCCGGCAGGAGGGTCTGGTTTACCTGCTCTGCAGGTGGGGCCTGCTGAGTCCGACAGGCATGTGCACGCACAGCATTCCAAAGAATCGGTTTTCTTTTAAAGACGCAGCAATGACTTCAGGGCACAAAAGGGTTGGGTTGAGCCCTGGCTGGAAGCCGTTAGCTATTTGCAAGGTAAAGAAGCAAAATAAATAGTTCCCTAAAGACAGCTCAAGGAAGAAACTGCAAAGGCATTCAGAACTTTTTTTTTAATGTCTAAAATGAATGTGTGCTTTTTGTCTCCAGACTTGAGAAACCCCAGACTGGTACAAAATGCCAAAGATAATAGAACTGAAAAGTCATCCCTCTCCTCCTCTGACTGTTTTTTCTTTTCCTTTTTAAAGAGGTCATAATATTGTCAAGAGCAGAAGACAGGCTCCTTGAAGGGTGGTGTCTTGCCTGAGATGGTCCAGAAATGTTGGCTATTTCTCTCAGTCTTGCTGCAAAAGAGCCCTGAAAAGGCAAAATACGGGGTTTTTTCCCCCCTAATAAATCGTAGACAATGTATACATTTTGAAAGTTGTAATATTTTGGTAAAACATATTTAAAGAAAGTCATTGTAGGCCAGGCACAGTGGCTCACACCTGTAATCCTAGCACTTTGGGAGCTTGTGGAGGGAGGATCACTTGAGGCCAGGAGTTTGAGACCAGCCTGAGCAAGGGCAAGACCCTGTCCCTACAAAAAAAATAGAAAAATTAGCCAGGTGTGGTGGTGCGTGCCTACAGTTCCAGCTATTCAGGAGGCTGAAGCAGGAGGATTGCTTGAGCCCAGGATTTTGAGATTAGAGTGAGCTATGATGATGCCACTGCACTCTAGTCAGGGTGACAGAGCCAGAGCCTCTCTTGAAAAAAAAAAAGAAAGTAATTGCAAATAAGTAGGTTCTCTTTCTTTCTTTCTTTCTTTCTTTCTTTCTTTCTTTCTTTCTTTCTTTCTTTCTTTCTTTCTTTCTTGTGTTTCAAATAGTAGGGCATTAGGATAATACTTTATATATGGATAATATACAGTAGAATATTGAATATGTATAAACAAGGACCCACATCCATAACAAAACTTCCTTTTGAATTCAAGGGGTTTTTTGGTAGTATCAGCTCAACTTCCCTGTATCATATTCCATGGTTCATGAGAAGGGAAAAGTCAAACCCTGAGAGATTGGGGTTTGAACATCATAATGTAATAGGAAACATTGCTAAAACAAACTCAAAACTCTTAAAAAATTTCCAAGTAATTAATCTTTTCTTTTAATTTACCAAGTTAGTTTCCTAAAAAAAAAATAAAATAAAATCTCTTCTTCTTTCACATTGTTCCTCTTCGTTGCAGAAATTAAGCCAGCTCCAAGCAAATGACAGGTGCTTCCCATTCCTCTGTGTGCTCTCGAAGCTCTGAAGCCTGCGCCGCACAGCACGGCAGTCCTGGCGGCAGTGAGGTAAGAGAGGCGACTGTCTACATTTTCTAACTTGACTGCCACAACAATCTCAAGGCAAGTATTATCGTAATGTCCATTTTACAGACAAGGACACTGAGGCACAGGGAAGTTCAAGAACGTACCTGAGATCATACCGTTGGTAAGTGGCAGAGCTCGGATCTGAACCCGGACAGTTCATTCATTCATCCACGGTTAACTGAACTCCTGGTCCGAGTCAGGCATGATGCCAGGGGTTTACAATGCAATGATGAACAAAATGAAATTGGTGCTTCATGGACAAATTATACTTCACAGAGTCCAATCATTGCCTTTGATTCCAAAACCTGTCCTCTTAACTATGCCCTGGACAGTGTCTTTTTGGTGGACGCTCCACGTTCTGATTTCCACACCAGAACACACGGCCTTCCCCTCTGCCCCTCCCCAGCCATTCTGAGACACCTTCAGTAGCAGCGTCTCGGCATGGCCAAGGACAGTGGCCACTTTCCAGGGTATGTACTACATAGACTCCAGCCTTGCATTGTTTTATCCGTCTAATTAGTGTGGGAGCAGGGAATTCAAGTTCAAATGTCCTGCGAGCAGAGCTTATTACGGGTGTGAGAAGCCATTTCTATTACAGCAAATATTTGCTCCCAGGTTGGTTTTTCACCACTTGATAACTGAAACTTGATCTTCATGGATTCTGACATAATGACTGCTTCCTACACAGCCTGAAAAAACCACAGCGAAACTCGCTTGCATTTTACCTATCCAAAGGAAACCATCCAAAAGCCTTTTCCTTACCCTCTAGCATTGCACATTTTCCCACAAAGCCCTGCTTTTATTTACCAATTGATAACATTTCCTTCTAATAGCGTATATAAATCCTGAACATTGCGTTCTTTGACCAATCCATCCCTGGTGTGACTTTGAGCAAACTCTAAAGGACAGACAGGCCTGCTCTGGCACTGACCCACTCTCAGTGGCCGCAGAAAGGCTGAATGGCCACTTACTTGGGGTAGATTTTTTAAAAAGCAACACTAAATGCAACAGTAATAGGTATACTGAGGACCTGCTGTGGGCTAGACACAGTACCCAACACTCTGCATGACATTGTCTCAGTTAGTAAGGACAGCAACCATAAATATGTACTATGATTACAGGTAACAGCTAAGGAAAACTGCTTGCAGAGGTTAAATAATTTACCTAAGACCACACAACTAGCAAATGGCAATGCTGTGATACAGAACTAGAGCCATCAGACACCAGAGCCTGAATCAGGCAGGATGTGGAAACATGACCATTTGGTCTGTAAGGTTTTGTGATTCTGAGATGTTCTACTCTACTCTGCTTGGGACAAAGTATATGGGAAGTATTACATTGCATTTCTTTGGTCATCACATTTTAAGTGGGAAAATAAAAATCTGAAGCTGATTTTTTTTTTTTTTTAGTCAAAGTGTCACTCTGTTGCCTAGGCTAGAGTGCCATGGCATCAGCCTAGCTCACAGCAACTTCAAAGGCCTGGGCTCAAGCGATCCTTGTACCTCAGCCTCCGGAGTAGCTGGGACTACAGGCATGCGCCACTATGCCCGGCTAATTTTTTCTATATATTTTTAATTGGCCAATTAATTTCTTTCTATTTATAGTAGAGAGGGGGTCTTGCTCTTACTCAGGCTGGTTTTGAACTCCTGACCTTGAGCGATCCTCTCGCCTTGGCCTCCCAGAGTGCTAGGATTACAGGTGTGAGCCACCTCGCCCCTCCTGAAGCTGATTTTTAAGAGAACCACCAGAGTTGAGAAGATACTCAAACCGTGTCATGTGAGGAAGACTTTAAGGAACCAGGACTAGGAGCTAAGAGCTGAGGACACTAGGGCTGGGGGATTGAGGAGGGAGAGTAGGGAGAGAATATGCTAATTGCCTCCAAATAATTGAAGGGAAAACAGATGGGAGAAAGAATAGGCTGGCATTGTGTGACTCCAAGTTAGAAAACCAAGACCAATAAGAGGAAGTTGGAGGGAGATGGATACTGACTTTGTGTAAAGATAAGTCTGTTATTCCTTATGGTGGAAAGTAGTGGAAAGAATGTTCGAATTCCAATTCCACCACTATGGTGAACATTTGTTAATTTTGCTTTCCAGAGTCCATTTGCCTTTATTCTGAAAGCAATGGCTTGATTTCCTTTGGGGAAGTAGCATTTTCCCGTTGAGCGAAGTCTTGTTGTGACCTCCCAACTCGATTTTCCCTCCAACGCCCAGCCCAAGAGTTCAGCATGTGACCCATGTTGGGCCAATCAGAATCCTTTTCCCAGGACACTATCTTGAGCTGAGTAACCTGAGGATGGAAAAGTGGCTGGAGCTGATTCTTCCCTAAGTAGTCCCCTCAGCAGCCTGAGTATGAGACCCTATCCCTGGAACTTGGCACTTTTCACAGTAGAAGCCGGGCACTGGGCAGGAAAGGCTAGCGATATCTGGCAAGAGGGCTGTGGCCCCTGGGCTGATGTCCAAGCCAACACTGAGAAGGGGTCACTAGCCAACCTGCCCTTAGAGAGAGCTCTGAGGGGTACCAGGTCAGCTTCCATAAAGACTACCTTGTTCAGAGATTCTACCATGGCTTTAATCAGGAACAGACTCGTTCAAGTTGTCTCAGAAATAATGGGGTTTATTGAAAGGACACACGCATGGGAATGCGGGAAAACCTAAGAAACCCAGACTCAAGAAAGGTAGGAATCAAGGCAGCCCTGTGACATGTTCTTGTCACATTTCTAACTCTCCTTCTCACAGAAAAGTTTGCTTCCTTTATCCTCTTCCTTCCCAGTTCAACATTTCTGGTCATTTGTCCACACAGGCCCCAAAATGGCCGGTCAATACCCAAATCCATGTGATCTCCCAGGACCAGCCAGCAGAACTACCTTCCTCTCTGGGAGTCTGCTAAATCGCTGAGAAGGATTTGACTGACTTAGCCATTGAGCTGGTCTCTGTCACAGGCTACTGGCCTACGGATAAGCTATCCACAGGACTGGAACCCGTGTCCTCACTAGGTACAGTCAGCTGAGCCTGGGGAGAGGGCCCATCTGGTCGGTTGGTACTTACCAGAAGCTGTGAACTGGTAGGGAAACCTTTGAAATATCACGTAAGACGCTTCTTACCTCTTAATGATGATATCGAAGTATAGTACAAGGTACATTCTTTACTATGAAACATTCCCTTTGAGGCATATTTTCCCACTATTTTCTTCCAATTTTTAAAGAGAATCTCCAAGGGTTACATCTTCAACCCAAATTATTTAGGAAGTCATTTTTCCTCAAAGAATATCCCCTATGAGGATATGAAAATGTCCCTTCTGTGGTGGATACAGAATGTTGACTTTAAGCAACTGGGTCTTCTGAATGTGTTCTGTAGAATTCCTGAGCTAGCACTGAAGTGTTTAACTGAGAAGCCTTGGTTTCCAGTTGAATAAGGGGTGAAAGGAGAGCGTCAGGCCATGGGCATGGGAAGCAGAGGACAATAGGAAGTGAAGGGAATTGAACCAAAGAACTGTGGAGGAACAGAGACCAGATGGGAGCTGCAGCTTGGAGCAGGAAGAGAGCCAGCCAGACCAAAAACCACACAAGAACTGCTACTTCCACCTCAGAAGCCAGAATATCTAATGTGAAACTAGAAAGAGTGTGGAGAGTCAGGGCAGAATTCGGCAGCTGGGCTGGGTGAGTAGACGCCGGGGTTTGTGATGAGTGCCTACTATGCACCAGGCATGTAAGACCTTTCCCAAGCTTGCAGCCATATTCACCTGTGTGCCCCTAATGACCAGCTTATATTCAGCTTATACTTGTAAATTCTTGGTTACTATGATCTCATGGCCTTTGACCAAAGGAGGTTTAGGAGTGAAGCAGGAGGCTATATGTCTAAGACCAGGAAGATGTCTTAAACCACATTCAATGCAAGAGGGGGCGGAACATCTTAGAAGGGCCCTTGGACATGGTGTTCCCTTGGAGGATTTGAAAGCCAGCCCCAGGATTATCCTGGAATTTGTGGTAGTCTTGCGTACCATTCACAAGGCTGCCAGATCCGACCCCAGGGCTGGGTTCGCATCCTTCCAATTTGTTCTGGAGTTCTTTTTTGCCGGAGCATCTCAGAGAAAACGTTACTACACGTTTCTCTGCAGGAGTGGGAGGTTTAATGGATTACCCATGGGCCTCTGGGGACCGGGCTAAGGATTCCGGGCCCAGAGTTTTGGGCCCACACACTTCACATCCGAGGATTAATGCTTGATCCTCCTCTGAGGGGGGTGGGAGGGTTAAGCCTCTGCTAGTTGATTACAAATGTTCCAGATACAGATCTTTAAGGTGGGAACTCTGTGAACAACAAAAACAACTGCAGAAAAACTCTACACAAAGTCTCACCTTCCTTCATTACTCAACTTTGTGAATTTTGAGGACTTAATGAGGCATTTTAAATAAAGAAAGGAATTACTTAAAGGCTAAGGATATCTTGGACCAGCTTAAATTGGGTAATGAGAAACCTAAGGTGCCCTTTCAGGATATTATTCATCCTATAAAAACAAAATGTATTTGTTCGCAGTAAACATGTCAGAACAGCAGCTATGTGGAACAAGTGAAGACTGGTTGCTATCCAATCTGCCAATTTTCAGATAAAAGAGCGGGATCTGATAAGTGACAGATTACCATGAGAACGTTTGCAGTGGGATCTTTTCAGGTTTACCATTTCGGCACCAAATAGTAAGTATATCAAGAAAATTTTAAGACAACTGCTCTTCTCATGATGTATTTACGAAGTTCATCTAAAGGTGGGGGGAGGGGAAGTTATGTTTGGTGCCAACCCTAAAACTATTGAAATCTCATGAGCTGTCAAAGAGAAATGAGCAGTCCTAGTGCTTGCAGAATAGGGTAACAGCAGGGTAGGGCCAATTCCTGAGCTATATGTAAAAATATTTTTGTTCTCATGAGCAGATCCCATCTCTTCTCCATACAGCAGCTAATGTGCCTGTAAAAAGGAGAGAATTATCCTGTGTGTCCCACACTTTCATATCTTGTACACACTACCCCCTCACTATTTTTGCTATATGATCATACCACTGAATCTGTAGTATGAGGACTTGATGAGACATTTTAAGAGAAGAAGGAATTACTTAAAGGCTAAGGATATCTTGGATTAACTTAGATTGGGCAATGAGAAACCTAAGGTTTCTATCTTAGGTTTCTTTCTTTAAATCAACTTACTGTTTTTTAAACTAAATAGAATATTTTGGAATGAAATTATTAGCTTTTCCCAAATCAGCTTTATCTGTGAATTCATAGCTTTGATGGGCTAGTTATTTTTTTCTCATATCAATTGAAATAAATATAGAACTATTAAAAGGAAAAAAATGTGGCTTGCTCTTTAAAGATAGCTAAAGATATCTTTGTGGTAGGCAGACCACAATTTGGAAAACACTGCCTGACTCTAAGGAGATCGCTTGGTGTGAGTGAAACTTTAAGAGGAAGCTGCCCAATTTATTCGAGGAAGAGGCCCACGTTGGTTCCAAGGTTTTCACTAATTGGCTCATTGATCCTGAGTTTGTCGCTTTACTGTGTACAACTTAATTTCGTACTCTGAGGAAGTTGGACTGCACAGCTTCTTTCTGTCTCTAACTATTTGCGACCTTCCAAGATCCAACCTGCAGTGCCAGGCACCCCAGCACCAGATGATGGCAGGAGCTGGGTGGCCGTGAACCAGTCAGTGCCTTGGCACCATCCCATGGTGTGCTTAATCTTCCTGGGAATTTCTCAGAACTTTGCTTTTCTTTTCATCAACAATAGTCAGGGAATACTCCTCTCAGCCAGTGTATGGTGTATGGAAGAAAAAGCCCCCTTTCTCTACTTTGGACCGGTTTCGGGGTTGGGGTGGGGAGGGAAGGCAAAGGGGAAAAAGGAATTTGGTGGGTGGCTTTGAAAGATGGCTGATTGAACCCCTTCTCTCATCTCCTCGCTGATCTAACATCCAACTACTCTGGAATGATCTTGGGGAAAAGGAAAACCTAATCTGATTACTTCATACCTAAGAGCACGGGGATGATAAGTATTATAATAAGAGCAATAATGGGTAACTAATAATGTGTTACCAGTCTAATAAAGTAATGGCAAGTCCACTAACCTCATTGTGCCTTTATTTCCTCATTTATAAAAGGTGTTACAGCTACTCAGGAAGCTAAGGTGGAAGGAACCTTTGAGCCCAGGAATTCAAGGCTGCTGTGAGCTATGATCACACCGGTGTACTCCAGCCTGGGCAACAGAGCAAGACTCACTCTCTATTTAATTTAAAAAAAGAAGAAAAGGAGTATGGACCAGTTGATTTCTCTTTTTCCTCCCTCCCTCCTTCCCTTCCTCCCTCCCTTCCTTCCTTCTTTAATTTTTAGAAACAAGGGCTTGCTATGTTACTCAGACTAGAGTGCAGTGGCTTTCACAAGCACAATCATGGCACCCTGTACCCACCTGAACCAAATGATTTGCTTCTCACAGTGCTAATGTTCTTTGATTGCATGATCTCAACTTTTATTTTTTTTTACAAAAAGTGCTAAATTCGATAGAATCCCTTCTAATCTGTCTGCATTAGAAGACAAGAATAAAGTTACCTTTTAGGATAATCATCTATCAACTGTTATAGGTGTAATTTTTGTAAGTTTCCAGAACCATGATACAGTTTGAAATACAACACAATCTGAATGTTACATGGCCTGGGAATGTTACATGGCCCTGCTGTTCATTATTTCATTCATTTACTTGGCCATTCTTTCTTCAAACATGTACTGTATACCTCTTATGAACCAGGTAGTGGAGTGCGGTGTTTTAGAATGTAGCTCTGGAAACAAAGTAGTTTGAGATCGAATCCCATTTCCACTACACATCATCTCTATGACCTTGGGGAAGTGACTTAATCTCCTTAAGTCTTGGTTCTTTTATATATAAAACTCCAAAATGACAATGGCATTAATCATAATTACAGGGCTATTGAAGACTGAAAGAGGTAGCAGGTGAAAAGATGGAAAGGTAAGCACCCAGAACATAGTAAGCACTCAATAAACAAACAGTAGCTGTTATCACCCTCTTCATTGTCATCATTATAAGCTGCATTGTACACCCCTCCCACAATTTATATGTGGAAAGTCCTAATCCCCATGACCTTAGAGTGTAGCTGTATTTGGAGATTTGGAGACAGAGCCTTTATAGAGGTAATTAAGGTAAAATGAGGTCACATGGGTGGACCCTAATCCAATCTGACCAGTGTCCATATAAAAAGAGGGGATTAGGACAGGGCGCAGTGGCTCACGCCTGTAATCCTAGTACTCTGGGAGGCCGAGGCGGTCGGATTGCTTGAGGTCAGGAGTTCAAAACCAGCCTGAGCAAGAGTGAGACGCCGTCTCTACTATAAATAGAAAGAAATTAATTGCCAACTAATATATATAGAAAAAATTAGCCGGGCATGGTGGTGCATGCCTGTAGTCCCAGCTACTCGGGAGGCTGAGGCAGGAGGATCGCTTGAGCCCAGGAGTTTGAGGTTGCTGTGAGCTAGGCTGATGCCACGGCACTCACTCTAGCCTGGGCAACAAAGTGAGACTCTGTCTCAAAAAAAAAAAAGAGGAGATTAGGACACATACAGTCACAGAGGGAAGATCATGTGAAGACAATTAGGAAGGATGGCCATCTATGAGCCGAGGAGAGAGGTCTCAGAATGAAACCAATCCTGGTAACACCTTGATCTTGGATGTCTAGCCTCCCAAACTGTGAGAAAATAAATTTTTGTTGTTTGAACCACCCAGTTTGTGGCATTTGTTACGGCAGCCCTGGAAAGCAATTATCATCATCATCATCATTATCATCATTTATGTGCTGAGATTCAAAGATGATTATGACATTAACTCATCTTCAGTGAACTCACGATCTAATAGGAGGAGACAAGGCAGATGTCATTTACCATACAGGGGGATAAGGACAAAAATAGAAGTTGGTGCCATTAAGATCCCAGGAGAGGGAATGCTCCAGGGAGGGGCGTGCTCCAAGAGAAGCAAAGGAAAAAAGATAAAAGGTTATAAAAGATGCTAGGTCTGGAAGGATCAAGGAAGGTCACTTGGTAGATAAGGTGGGACAGGGCATTTCAGGCAAGATGTCAGCACGTTTGATGGAATTTGTGTGCGACAAGGACATTCTTCTAGATTTGATGTTTAGGAATCATTTGTTCTGTAATGTGGGAACTTCACCTGTCTGTGGTGGAGAGAAGGTACACCCTAACCACAGCCCCAGCCCAGTGAAATGCCAGTAATCAGCTGGATATGCTGGTGCCTGAACATTTATTTCTACTGTCCAGATACCATAAGGATAGAACAAAAAGAGAAATTCCCCTGTCAGCCCACCAGAAACACTTAGCAAGCTTACTGCTTTTTGTTGGGAAGCTAAGGTAACATGACCCCTCAGCTTGAGCTCAGAATGGATAAGAAGACAATGGGAGTGGGCAAGAAATAACCCAGTTAAAGAGGAGGTGGTTAAAATATAATCCATTGATTCTGGTGTGTATATATGTGAAAATTTATAATACACAAAAATATGATTATAACTGGCTTCACGTAAAACTCTCATCATCAATTTAAAAAAAAGATACCTTTAAATGAACCAGAACAAGCAAGGTGGGGAAGGTAATATACTCTACCTGCTTCAAGGATTGTTGGGGGGATTAATGAGTGAATGTCTGGAAAGCTCTCTAGCAATGGAGAAGAAAAGACCTGGAAAACTAGGAGGTATATTATCTCGTCCCTCACCCCCTACAAAACTCAAAGACAGGGCACAACAAAATCTGCACCAGCTTTTTATCTTTTTTAATATAACAAAAAATGATTTACACCTTGTGATGAGCAGGTAAAAAAAAAAAATAAAAAAATAAAAAAATAAAAATAAAAAAAAATGATTAAATAATATTTTGTTAAAAGACCAAAAAAATCCTCCATTTAACTGATATTACAACTTTTATTGCTCCATACTTCCTTCATTTTTATTCTGATTCATCCATGGTTGTACTCACTTGTGAGATTTGTATTTATTTTGCCTTAGCTTTTTAGTTTTTTTTTTTTTCTTTTTTTGGTGGGAGGCTGGGAGACAGTGTCTCTCTCAGTAACCAGGCTGGAGTGCAGTGGTAAGAACCTCCAACTCCCTAGCTCAAACAATCCTCCTAATCCTTCTGCCTCAGCCTCTGGAGTAGCTAGAACTACAGGTACGCACCATCATGCCCGGTTAAATTTTGTATTTTTTGTAAAGATGGGTCTTGGTTTTTACCCAAACTGGTCTCAAACTCCTGGCCTCAAGTGATCCTCCCACCTTGGCCTCCCAAAATTCTGGGATTATAGGCATGGGCCACCAAGCCCCGCCAGCATTTTAGTTTTTATTTAACGTGTCATACAATTTGTTCAAGTTGCAACAAACAATTATAAAAGTATTATGTTGAAGTATAATAGAAGTTGCATATAATTCATGAGTTCTAGTGAATTCTAGAGTTGTGTAACCATCACTAAAGTCAGATTTTAGAACGTTTTCATCACCTCCAAAATCACCTGGTGCCCATTTGCAATTCCCAGGCTTGCCTCCTTGCCCCGGGCAAACACTGGTCTGCCTTCTGTGTTATAGATTTGTATTTCCTAGAAATTTTATATAAATTAATGTCTGGCTTATTTCACTGAGCAAAATGTTTTTGACATCCATCTATGTTGTGGTGCGTCCCAGTATCTCTTCCTTTTTCTTGCGGAATAATACTCGTTATCTGGATTGCTGCATTTTGTTCATCCAGTCACCAAGGATGGACTTTGGGATTGTTTCCAGTTTGGGGCTCTTACGAATAATGCTGCCATGAACCTATGTCTTCATGTGGATATGCGCTGTCACTTCTTGAGGCCAGATGGCCAGGAGTAGAAATGCTGAGTCACGTGGTCACTCGGTTTAACTTTTGAAAAGGAACTACTAAATTGTTCTCCAAGGTGGCTGCAGCGTTTTACATTCCACCAGCAACATATGAAGGTTTCAATTTCCCTACATCCTTACTAACACTTGTTACTGTCTACTTTTACAATTATAGCCTTTATAGTGAGTGAGAAGTGGTATTTCATGTGGTTTCAATTTGCATTTCCCTAATAACTAATGATAGTGCACATATTTTCATACACCTTTTGTGTATTTAGCCTTTGGTGAAATGTCTGTTCAGATCTTTTGCCATTTTTAAATTAAGTTGTTTGCTGAGGGCTTTAAAATAAGAGAGGGAGAAAAGTCCATAAGGCATACCTGTAACCTAGAACCCAAGTGCCAGAATTGATTCCTAAATGCTGCTTTGGTTTGAAAAAAAGTCATTGCTTTTACTCTTGGAAAAGTGTTCAACTCTAGGTCGGATGCAGTGGCTCACACTTGTAATCCTAGCACTCTGGGAGGCCAAGGCGGGAGGATCGCTCAAGGTCAGGAGTTCGAAACCAGCCTGAGCAAGCGCAACACCCCCCCCCATCTCTACTAAAAATAGTAAGAAATTAATTGGTAAACCAAAAGTATATATAGAAAAAATTAGCCAGGCATGGTGGCGCATGCCTGTAGTCCCAGCTACTCGGGAGGCTGAGGCAGGAGGATCGCTTGAGCCCAGGAGTTTGAGGTTGCTGTGAGCTAGGCTGATGCCACGGCTCTCTAGCCTGGGCAACAGAGTGAGACTCTGTCTCAAAAAATAAATAAATAAATAAATAAATTTAAAAGAAATGTTCAATTCTATAGAAAATGTTTTTTGGCTTGAAGAAATTGTTTGGTGTTTAACTGTTTCCTTGGATTGCCATTCCACCAGTGAGTTCTTGGCCGATCGGTGCTGCTCACTGGGGTGGGGTTGAGGCTGGGGCTTGCTCAGGAAGTGAACCAGGGAATGGGGAGGTCACTGACATTTCCTGGGGCAAAGGAGTGGGAGATAGGGCTTCTCTCCCCCGCCTACTCTGGCAGCACCTGTCCCCAGCCTGGCAGGAAGATGGGGCCTTCTCTTCTGCGAGCATCTCGCCACTGTCCAACAGCAGGTGAGAAAAAGGGGGACAAAAACCAGTCCTGTTTTCTCTCCCCTGTTTTTTTCCCCCAAATTTTACTCTGCCAAATCTTTAAAACTTTGCAAATATACATCCATTGAAATTTCATTAATCAAGAACTTGTTCATATAAACAGTTTGTTTTTTTAGCTACAGCAAAGGAAAACAGTAGAGGTCTCTTAAGGGCATCCAGCCTCAATGAGCTCACCTTTTTTTCTGAAGAATGGGTAGGGGTGAAATGGAAACAATTCACCAATTCCCTTCACCCTAATTCTCAGGCTGACCTGCATTAAACCCACCTCATGAACACAGGAATTATCACACTTAGTCCTTTCTGGGCCAAGAAACTTGCAGAAGCATTAAAAAAAAATAGTTGAAGTACCTCGCTTCTCACCAAGTAGGTAGCGCCAGTTGGCTGTTTGTCCCTTTTTTTTTTTTTTAATTTATTCCACAATTATGTTTATGCTTTTCATTTGGTAAACAGTAATGGAACATATATTTTTACTTTGTTTAAAAAGAAAACTTTGATTCAGTCTTTCAAGAACTGTTCCATTTTTGGTTTCTTCTTAGAGGAAAAAAAGTTACCAGTTAATTTGTTGTGAAATATTTAGGCATTCTTTGAGTTACAAAACTGTGACATGGGGATTCGTGAATGAAACATTCACATGCGAAGGAACATTCACGAGGTATCTGCTTAAGCAGAATAAAGTGTGTACACGTACACAAAGTGCAGTCATCTTAACTTCATCATGCGGTGACTTGTAGATGTTCTGCTTTCTATAAAGTCCTCAAATTTTTGCATATATATATTATATTAGATGTAATATTTTAGAAATATATGTATAATATACACACTTTTTTCCAAGGCCATCTGATAACTCTGTGTTTTGTTATGGATGTTGAGAGAAAAAAGTATTTTACCTGGGAAATTAAAGTAAAATTTAAAAATTTTTGTTTTGTTTTGTTTGATTTTGAGACAAAGTCTCACTCTGTTGTCCAGGCTAGAGTATCGTGGCGTCAGCCTAGCTCACAGCAACCTCAAACTCCTGGGCTCAAGCGATCCTCCTGCCTCAGCCTCCTGGTTTCTGGGACTACAGGCATGTGCCACCATGACCCCCTAATTTTTTCTATTTTTAGTTGCCTGGTTAATTTTTTAAAAAATTTAAATTAAGTTGTCTTCTTGTTGTTGAGTTGTAAATTGTGCCAGGCATTGGGCTATGTGCTTTTTGTTGAATTTTCACAACTGCTCTTAGGTATATATGCTTATCTCCACTGAACAGATGAGGAGAGGCAGTTACATAATAGTTTGACCTAGTGTGACCAGCACAGATATGGCAGAGTCAAACCTGCAGCCCAGGAAGTCCCCTTGCCTGGCTGCTGAAGTATCTTTTCACTCTCATGAGCAGTATTGTTCGCTCACCTGGAGCAGGAACTGGGATGGAGGAATTCGCCAGTCTCTTCCCTCTGAGAGTCCCCCTAGATGTCTTTGCTGCCCCAGGAAACCCCGGCAACACATCCCATCAGCTTCCTGCTCGCCCACCCAATTCCTGTTAAGTCCTTGTGAGCAGCAGTTTCAGTCCTCATTCCCTCCTCTAAGTAAGGGTCTATCTTCAAATATCCAGAACTCACTACTAAGTACCGTGTTTCCCCCAAAATAAGACCTACCCATGAAATAAGCCCTAGCAGGATTTCTAAGCATTTGCGTAAAATATGAGCTCTACCCTGAAAATAAGACCTAGTGATGGGTGTGGCTATGCAACGTGTCTGCACAACCCATGCATTTCGTCCACTGAGCGGTAAAGAAGAGGAGCAGCCCTTCTCATCTGCCCCATGAGAGCTCTATTGCTCGACATGAGAGATTGGGGCCAATGGTTCTAAAGGAAATAGAATCGCAAGAAATTCAGGATGGCATTCGGGGTTTGGAGAGTTATGATGATATTCCAGAAGAAGACGACTTAACTACATTTGAATAAATGTAGATTGTTGTGCTGTACTTAAAAAAAATAACACATCCCCTGACAATAAGCCCTAGGGTGTCTTCTTGAGGAAAAATACAGGACCCTGTCTTATTTTGGGGGAAACACGGTAATAAAATGCGACTCCCGCAGGCCTGCACGTTAGTCAGCACATATCCGCAGCAGGGGCTGGGAGGGCAGCTTCCCACAGGCACGGTGCAGAGAGGAAGCTACCAGGGTTGGGGGGGGGGGTTGGTTCCTTTGTTTGTTTGTTTGCTTGGGTTAGTGATTATTTCCCTTAAGATTTGTCAGCACAACTAACTTCTCTGCTAGGCTGGAGCTTCTGGGGACTGGGACTGACTTATCTTTATATCCTTAGGATGAAGCGCTCAGTAAATGTTTGCTGAACGAATTAAAGAGCTCGTGAATGGAACTAGCTTAGCTGAACAAACAGCGAGCATGCAAAAGTGATCACCAATGGATCGATGCGAACAAATTTAAACTGCTGTACTCTCACGCTACCTTCTTTATAGCAGATCCTAATCTTTCTGTTTCTGACTCTTGCAGTTAAGTTGATCCCAACTGCTCGTGACACTTAGCTTGGTCTGACCTTGGACTGTGCAGAGGTTAGTGATTAAAGCTTCAGGCTCTGCAGTCAGATAGATGAAGGTTCAAATATCTGTCACTTGGGAGTCCTGCATGACCTTTGGCAGACACTGGCTTAAATCTGACTTTCCTCACCTTAACTGTCAGAGTAACAATAGGTTTGAGGAAGGATACATCGAGGTAAACCATATAACTTACTAAGCATAATGCCTTAATACCTAGCACACAGCAAGCCTTAATACCGAGCACACAGCAAGCTCTTATATATGATAGGCATTGTTACTAATTATTGCCATTGTCTCCTCATTGCTCTAAGCCCCTTCCTTGTGACAAAGGCTTAGCTTCTCTATGGAGTTAACAGCTAGGGAGTGCTCTGATTGCTCCAAGCGGGTGGTCTTCAAACCTGAGGGGGTTTGTATGTTTTAACAATATAATCTTTCTTTTTTCTTTTAACAAAATTTACAAGAAATGCCAACATATGATGAGATCAAAGGGGAGTTCTTTATGGTGTGGTGTCTATGAATGCAGCCTCTAGAGCTGCTCACGTCAGTTGGAATCCTCACTCCACCAACTATTAATACTAGTATGTGTGATTGCTCAAATTATCCAATAAAGCCTCAATTTTTGCATCTGCAAAATGGGTATAACAATGGTACACACCTAACAGGGTTGTCGCATGATCTAATGAACATAACAGCACCCTAGTGTGCATTCAAAAATTAACCAGTATTATGTGGATGTCTGATGGTGGAGGAGAGAATGAACCCTCAACCAACGTTCAGTCATCTCCACTAAAACTACTTTGTAAAACTCCAGCTCTTACTAGTTATACTGTTCTGATTTTCTAGCTGCCTAGACCACACACAGGAACATTTCAGAGTGCCTCTGTTCTGACCAAGCACTTGGTATTCTCCATGAACCCCAATATCACAGAAATCTGTCATATTGGAAACTTGGAAATTCTCAATTTCACTGCAAGCTCAGGCTTATGTCCTTTACCCTCTGACTTTAAAAGCTATATTTATGGATGGGAAGGAAATAGCATCAAAGTCACATGGGGCCTGCCTGTGTCACATGCAGCATAATTGGATTCACTCTGAAAAGGGTGCATCTGCCTCTTATTAGCCAATCCAGAAAAATTAAAGCACTTGATATGGACCAGATTGTACTCAGAACTCTTTTCAAAGTCAGTAATAATGCAAATCAATTTGAATTAAATTAGATCACTTTGATCTAAAATACATTGTCATTTTTACAAATGTCTAATTTTGCAGATGTGTTTCTTTGCAGTTATATAAAGACCACAAATGTTGAAGATGTCATTTCTAAATCCTCTCCTGAAGGAACTAGGTTTCAGAATGAGGTATACTTAAAATCAAAACAATATTTATAAAAACCACTCCAGAATTTTCTTTATTAAAAAAGGAAGGTGGTTTTTAAAACCAAGGTAAATAAATGCAGTAAATATAAGCACTATTTCCTAGTTTTCTTATCTAAAGAGTCAAAGCAATAAGATACAGCTTTAATTGGTGCCATGAATCCTTGATTGGCTGGAATTCTTTGGGAATAGCATGCTTTGGTTAAGTAGATTTTCTCTACTTTGTAGAAAATTTTTCTAGAAGATAGTTTTATCCTTTTCTACCCTTTTATTTCCTTGCTCCCTCCTATTTCCTCTCCTTTACTTCTTAAAAATGAGGATAAGGGATATAAGTCAATATTTCAGCTCCTCTGGATAATCAGTCTGAGCACTGAATGGGCTGGGCCGCAGTGGTGCACTGGCTGTGCTCTGAGTGACACAGGAAGGCGCAGGGGCATTCGCAGCAAAGAGTGGCAGGCTCTGACCCGAGCGCACCAGGGCCCCTGACTGCCATGTTGAGAATGGGCTGCAGAAGGGCAAGCAGGGGGCTGGGCCAGCAGCTCCGCACACGCCCCAGTGGCAGGTGAGGGTGACTTGGGTGCAGGGTCAGTAGTAAATCCATGGAATGAGGGGTCAGAGTCGGGATGTATTTTGGAGGCAGAACCAAGTGATTTCTGACAAACTGAAAGTGAGTGTGATAAGAGAGGAGTCCAGAATGACCTCTAGGTTTTCTCCTGAGCTGCTGGAAGGATGGAGTTTCCACTTGACTGAGATGAAGCCTGGAGCCGGAACAGGCTGGAGGCCGAGGGAGGAGAAAGGGAAAGTTGGGCATGAAGAGTTTGTTTGGAGACAAGTTAAGCGGTGATGACAAGCTGGGCATATGAGACGGGGGTTTAGGGGAGAGGTCCAGGCTAGAGATGCAAATTTGAGAGATACCAGTATAAAGTTGCGATTAGTACCAGGAAATGAGCATAACACAGAGGGCGCGGCAGGACAAGCACCCTAGGACAGCGTGCTGTCCATGTCTCCACACAGAAGAGGAGGAGCGCTACCAAGGAGACTGCTATCACAGACCCAGGACGCTTGGACACACCTGTTGGTTTGCATTTTTGTCTCTTATTAGTAAAGTCCGGTGCCAATCGCAGTGCTTGGCAGAGACCTTCAATAAATGTTTGTGGGAAGGAAGACAGGAAGAAAAAGAGGGAGGCAGGGAGGGAGGGAGGACCGTGAGTTCTAGGTGTGTCCTGCAGGTAGGCTGCTAAGGCTGCCTGGGAAATGCTGCTGCACCGAGGTGTCAGGGACCTTGAGGCTGGGATGCTGAATGGGTTGCTACAGAGCTGTTTATGGTCGTCCCTGAGATGATGGCAGGATTTAGGGTGAAAGGAAAAGTGTGAGCCAGAAGACAAGGGCCTCAGTGACTGCAGGGAATTGAGGGGACAGCCCACAGTTGACAGCAGTGAATCCCAGACAGCACTTTGCACAAATGGCTCGGTCTCAAAGGAGGAAGGGTTTTTGCAGGAGAATGCTGAGTAGGGATCTGAGGCAGCACCTGGGGGAGGCAGCAGAACCACCTTCCCTTAAAAGGACTACAGATAAGGTGGCCCCTGGGGGAGAGCATTGTTTTAGTTAAGGAAGAAAAAAAAAGTTTCCTGAAAACAAAGTGGAGGATGCAGAAGAGTTTGATCCCAATAAATAAAGGTTCCAGAGGGCACAGGAACATACCTTTGGAGGAAGGCCAGTAGTGAAAAGCAGAATGAGGAAGAAGAAAGCATGGCACATTCTAGGTGCAAGAAGCTGCAGGGTCCAGCATTTTGACCAAGGCCAAGGTTGGCAGAGGGGAAGGCATGATGGAAACATCCATCTTCCAGATTCTGGCCCGCAGAGACCAAGCATTCGGCTGGTGCTGGCGGCCTGATAAAGTTAGCAGAATGCTGTCATTCCTCAGCCTTCATATAGAACATTCTTGGGAAAATGTCCTGGTGTCTCCCTAAAGAACTCTAGTTCAGGTGTTAAGGACAGGGTCAGTGGGCCTCTGGTTGAAGCACAGCAGGCCGCAGGGGCCATCAGGCCTAAGGGTTCATGGAGTAAAATGAGAGGTGCTTTCAGGTGTCCCTCCTGAGAGAATGCTCCCCCCAGAAGAGTGGAGGGGACAAGCTGGGCTTCTAGCCTATGCTGACCTTCTCATCTAGGTGGAACCCTGGCGGCTCACCTGGTAAACAGGACCAAAGACACCCTGAGCCAGGCTGTGGATGGCTTGGACAGGAAGATTCTGTTATAGCCCTTTCCATCTGATTATCCTCCTTTCTACTCTTCCCATGGTTGTCCTATCCTCTTCCTGCTGAAACTGTTCACGTGCCAGGCACAGTGGCAAGTGCTACTTGGGAGGCCAAGGCAGGAGGACAGCTTGAGTCCAGGAGTTCAAATCCAGCCTGGGCAACATAGCAAGATCCCCGTCTGTAATAATTAGAAAAAAAAAATTGTTTACATGAAAATGAACCTATTTGTCTTCTTCCTGCTAGAACATGAAATCCTCAAGGACAGAGAAGTGTCTTAGCCATGTTTGTATCTTCTGCAACTAGAACCTTGCCTTTATTCAGTCATCCAAGCATCTGAAGATTGGGGAAATAGGATGAAAATGGGTAAGGATTCAGAAAGTCTCTCCCTGAGGACTTGGCAGCCACGAATGTCTCTGCAAGTGTCCAAGCTGTTCCCTTTCTCTGGGCCAACTTGATGTATGGCAGACACCAATAGCAAGCAGCATGCAGTAGCTAAGCAAGGCTGGGAAGTCCTGTTCTACACCTCCCTGGTCCATATTTAACTCAAACAAATAAATGCTTAGGTTCTTTTAAATTCTCCATTAGTACTTTGCTCTTCTGTTTCAAGCACCACCCAGTGTTGGGGTTCTCTGTCCCCACAGTGAGAATGAGCTTCGGGGCCAGCGCTTAGGCAGGCGGAGCCCAGCGAGAGCTCCCAGCCTGGTGAAGAAGGGATGCAGGAAGGCGGGGAAGGGATGCGAAAGACGACTGTGTTCTCCTCTCAGTTTTGCCCTATTTTTAGCATCTGAACAACACACAAGTGATTTCTTCATGTTTCTGGTTACTTTCTCCCACAGATTCATTTCACACCCGTGGGGCTTGGTGTTTCTGGGACACCACGACTATCACCGGGTTCGCCTTTCAATGTGCACTGACAACTGCTCTCTGCTTGGCTGGAATGGAATTTCCTTTCCCTGCATCGTTATCCACGCTTGGCTCTAAGAAAGCATTTTAGAAACAGTCATTTACTCACCCTTTCCAGAGTAGTTACCATGGCACCCTCTAGTCAAGGGAGCTGGGTGTTCGCAAGAGGGTCTTTGGGGGCCAGAGGGCTCACACTGTGCTTGGAGGGAGGAGGGGTCACACTGTCAAGGGCGAGTCTGATGGGAAGGGGCAGATGGAAGGGGCGTGGGGAGTAAGGAAGCTGCCACCTACGGGGAGGGGCCTGCGGGGACTGGCGAGGGCAGACCTGACACCCAGGCGGATGGAGGAGGTGACAGCACGGGGAACCTGGCCCTCCTCCTAAAAAAGGAGATGCGCCGAATGTCACCAGTTCCAAAGGAGAAGGAGACTCGCCACTACACGACTCGGGTTGTTTGGTCGTTGCCTTCTTTCTTTTTTAAGTAGTTCAAACCAGGATACTCACTGTGAACAAAATTGTATGAGTTGTTATTATCCTAATTTTAGACTTGAAGAGGCACGGTCAATTTGAGATCAGAAATTAGAGCCCAGCAGTTGAGAGTTAGTTCTACATACATTGGGAGGGGCTGATGCCCTCAGTTCTGAGTCTCAGAAAGAGGTCAGGGCAGTGGGGACAGGTGAGCGGGGCCTGCGGGAATCAGCAGTCATGGGAGAGGCAGAAAGAGATGGGCTCATTCAAAAGTAACAGGCCAAACCCAAGAGGCTCTATTTCCTAAATTTCCAACTTAATCAAGATAGTCATGGAAAATATACTGTCGAGATCCATTTGATAGCTCACACTACAAATTTTTTTAAATTTCAGCATATTATGGGGTTACAAATTTTAAGGTTTCAAATAATGCCCTTGCCCCCCACCCCCCACAAGTCTGAGCTGCAAGCATGACCATCCCCCAGATGGTGCACGTCTCACTCATTATGTCTGTATATACCCACCCTCCCTCCCCCCAATACCCCCGCCCAATACCCAGTTAATGTAGTTCTTATGTGTCCACTTAGGTGCTGCTCAGTTAATACCAGTTTGCTGCTGAGTACATGTGGTGCTTGCTTTTCCATTCTTGGGATACTTCACTTAGTAGTATGGGTTCCGGCTCCATCCAGGAAAATACAAGATGTGCTATATCACCGTTGTTTCTTAGAGCTGAATAGTACTCCATGGTATACATATACCACATTTTACTAATCCACTCATGAATGGATGGGCACTTGGGTTGTTTTCACAGCTTTGCAATTGTGAATTGTGCTGCTATAAACATTCGAGTGCAGGTGTACACTATGATTTTTTTATGATATTGGTACTTTCTTTTTTGAGCATCAATTTTTGTCTATTGAGTTATTTTGAACCGGTATCTTTCTACGGCATAGGGTGTACCTTTCCTACCAGGGCATGGGACCACAGACACAAAGTCATCAGCTGTGACCAGGTCGCTCAGGAAAGGCTTAGAGGATAGCATGGGGGCACTGGTACCCCAGGGCTCAGCCCAGACTGTGGATAGGTCCTTACAAGCCAGAGCAGGCGAAGTATCATCCATCTAGGGGATCAAGTCAGTCTGCAGATTGGAGGGGCTCAAGGACTGTGTCAGTTGTCAGGGAACCCGCCACTGGCTGCCCACACGGAGCATCCTGAGGGAGCTGTGCACGTGCGGAGGATGGACCCCGAGGAGCAGGCAGGACTGTTTCCTAGATGGGCAGGCCCAACCAGCCAAAGTTAAAGCCAGGCTAAGGGCTTCCTAGCCCCTCATCGTGGCCCTCTGGATTTTATTACTTTTATAGCAAAAAAGGCTAGATTACTCCAAAGAAAAGCTTATCTACAGAAAAAGTCCTCTTCCCTAAGGCTTAGAGCAGGGCTGGCCTGAGCAGCCCGCCAGTAAGGAGGAGCTGGAGGCCAGTGGCAGCCTAGGCCCATCTGCTCCACCAGCCTCCACGTCCACCACGGGGACTCCAGACGGAGAAAGCGCAGACAGAAGATGACCCCAAGTCAAGCGGAAAAGGCAGGACCAAAAGAAGCCAGAGCTTCTAACCTCTTGGCTCTTCACCCCATGAGTTTCGTGCCAATCATGGTGACCTGAGAAAGTCACTGGCCTGACCCATATTGGTCCATCTAGTCCTCAGAGACAGAATGGAGAGAGAACCTGGAAGTGCTGCAGCCGGAGGTGACATGAGCAGCAGGGCTCAGCCTCAGACGGTCGGATGTGCATTTTTTCTCTCCCTGAGCCCTTCATGCCTGCTCGCTGTTTTCTATGAACATTCTAATACGGAGTCTTCATGGCCACCCGTGCTGGATATGTCTCATCGTTTTCATTTAATACATGGAGAAATTAAGACTGAAAAGATTAAGAAATCTGCCCCAGGTCAGATATCATGGAATGTCCATTCCAAAGCCCGTGTTCTCCCTTCTCCACCGTGTTTCTGAGAGTATATGAGCAGAGAAGAGCCAGAACTCTCTTTTTTTTTTTTTTGAAACTGAGTCTCCCTCTGTCACCCTGGCTAGACTGCAGTGGCATCATTGTAGCTCACAGCAACCTCAAACTCCTGGGCTCAAGCGATCCTCCTGCCTCAGCCTCTTGAGTAGCGGGGACTACACGTGTGTGCCACCGCACCTGACTAATTTTTCTATTTTTAGAAGAGATGGTGTCTTGCTGTTGCTCAGGCTGGTCTTGAACTCCTGAGCTCAAGAGATCCTCCTGCCTCAGCCTCGCAGAGTGCTAGGATTACAGGTGTGAGTCACTGCGCATGGCCCCCAGAGCCAGAACTTTTAAGAAGCATTTCCTACCTAAGCCACAAATAGCCTCAGCTTTTCTTTGTCACACAACAACATCATTACGAATGCCCTCCATCGAAATGTGTGTTCCATTTCAGCCACACTCCTTGAAGTATGTAGGACTCTCCGCCCCTGGACCAAATGTCCCCGAACAGCTGTGCATTTGCTGGTAGTTTTCCTTCCAGTACAGCTTCCTTTAGTCTGTATTTCTCGGCAGCTTCCATTTTTTTCAGGATTTTCATGCACAGCTGCTGTTAGCAGGCCTGAAGATAACTCTGCCTTTCCTATAAGTTCATGAAAGCTTTTAACTCCTCACAGACCTCTTCTCTGACTTTAGGATTCACAACTATCCTCTGAAGAGCTGGAGTCACCAAACACCCAATTTCAGCATCACAGAGGTACTTTCTCTCAACGGCTTAATGATCAAATTGGGCTTACATACTAAACCGTATATTATTTAAATTCTGAATTTTAGGTTTGCAAAGATAGTGCAGAGAGGACCCCTATAGTCTTCCTAATGTTAACATCTTACCTAACCGTGGGAGGTATGTTTGCCCAAACTAAGAGATCAACATTGGTTGTCTATGTACTTTGAATATGCTACAGGACATGGACATACATTATGTAATAGCTACTTTCTGATTTTCTAGGTGATCTCATTTGCATGTAATAGTCTAGAAGCCAATTTCCTCCTGATGTCTTAGGTTATGAAGCTCTTTGTGAAAAAGTATTCTGCTTCTTCCTTCCCCAATGAGAGGTTTACAGCAATGGCAAGTGCAAATGTTTGGTCTTTTTCTTCTTTATTTTAGAGCTGAATGAAGAAAAAGAATGAAATGTACTTACAACAAAATAATGGCAAAATATGTATATAATTTCACCGTCACTGGTTTGATTTGTATATTCAGTTTTCAGGCTTGTGCCTAAGAGTAAATTCTATCTACTTAATAACAGAAGAATAAACATCTTAGTTGTTGCTGCATTAATTTCATTTGACTCAGTGGATAAAATCCATCTTGCAATATCTTTCTTCCTTAGATTTCAGAAAAGTGGGACACAGCCCTTGGGAAGTGTGGTTATTTCTAAGGAAAACCATTAGTGTAGGACGACTATCTGATCGGTTCTCTATTTAGCACATGTGTTAACAGCCAGATAATGCAAACAAAACAAGGTGGAGAATGGAAGGAGTGAGGGGAAGAGAGAAGAAAATATTTTCATGAAAAGACAAGGAGGAAACTTAAATGCATATTACTACATGAAAGAAGCCAACGTGGAAAGACTCCATACTTGCGTGATTCCAACTGACATTCTGGTAAAGACCAAACTGTGGAGACAGTGAAAACGTCAGTGTTTGCCAAAGGTTAGGGGGATGACAGGGCAGAGCACAGATGATGTTTAGGGCAGTGAAACTGCTCTGTGTGATACTATGATGGTGGGTACGTGTCACCGTACATTTGTCCAAACCCATAGAATGTCCATCAAGAGTAGACCCTAATGTACACCATGGACTTTGAGTGATAATGACGCTGTCAGTGTAGGTTCATTGCTCATAACTAATGTGCCCGTCTGGTGGTGGGTGTTGATAATGGGGGGCTGTGCCGTGTGAGGGCAGGGGTATGTGAGACACTTCTGTTTCTTCTGCTCAATTTTTCTGTGAACCTAAAACTGGTCTAAAATAGAAAGTTTAATAACTTTTTTTTTTAAAGGTATTTTAAAGTTGAATCAGAAAAGAAACCAGTTAAATGAACTCGTGAGAAATTCAGCTGACAGAAAACAAAGGTAAGAGGGAAACCAGGAGACTTCGGTATGTTAGGTTGGGACCCCTGGAGACAGATTTTGGGAGGCATGGGGAATAACACCTTTGGGGAAATACAGAGCAGGCTGAGGTACAGAGAGGAAGCGAATGGCGTGATGCTGTTGCAGCAGAGCCTCAGGTTGTACAGTGGGCAGCTCTGCAGCTGGGACGGTCCTCTATAGTGTCCCCAAGTTGCAATCGGGGCTGGACTCTGTATCCCCACATCGACCAGCCCTTGCATGTGGGCTGTCCGTGGGAGGGGGCATAAGTTTGGTCAGGTCAGCTTCCTCCATCTGAGGGCAACCCCCAGGGATGGGCTGACCCCCGGGCTGTCAGCTACCGATGCTCCTGGTAGCTGGAGCCATGAGGTCCTTGGTCTTGCAGGAGGAATCTGGGTGGCACATCAGAGCATCTATTATACGCGGTGTCCTCAACTCCAAGGGGAGAGAAAGTTTCACGAAGGGGCGGCCAACAGAATGGAATACTTCTGAAAGGTGGGGTTAGAGGAGGACACAGATGTGGCAGATGGAGGACATCGGTGATCTCAACCAGAGCAATTTCAGTGGAACTGGGAGGAAGACACAAACCCAACCGAAGAGACCTAGAAGACAGTGGAAGAGGAGAAATGGAGGCAGCAATACAGATAATTGTTTGGAGCTTTTTATCAGTCAAGAGGAGCAGAGAGATTGGATGTTAAATGGAGAGAGTCTGTGGAGTGAAGGGAGGTTTCTTATTTATTCTAAGTTGGAAGATACTAGAGCGTGTTTGTTTGTTGGCAAACAGAATGACATGAATGATGGGGGAGATTGAGATGCAAGAGAGGGAGGGGGTCGTTAGAGGAGTCATGTCCTTGAGGAGCTGAGAAGGACTAGGGTGCAGGGCACGATTGGAGGGGCTGGCCTTGGATTGGAGGGGCAGGGGGACACCATCCAGAATAGTGACAGTGTTGGCCTCCAGGGAGGTGACTTTACCTCCCTGCCCATATTTGACAAAAGAGGATAGAGCTATATCAATCCCAAATGGGGCCGTCGGAGTCTCTGTCCCTGGAATTTGCAGCAAGGGAAACAGAGGTCAGTCTAGGAATGCCTGTTGAATGGGATTTGAACCCAGGCACTAAGGAGTGGCTACTTTCCACCCACCATGTACTGAGGGAAGTGGAGAGAGCATGAAGAAGTTGTGGCAGAGATGAGAAATGAGACAGGCTTCTGGTGACTTTGCAAGTCCAGCCCCTCCCTGAGGCCTGCCTGTAGACCTCTTATATGCCACCAAACACTGCTATGTCTTTCCTACAAATGTCCCCTTCTTGCTAAATTTAGCCCTACTGGGATATGGATTCTTGCAACCAGAATCTTATCTATGACAGGGAGCATTGCTTGATTGACACGACATTCGCCTCCGGCTAGACAGCCAGAAGACACTGTTGATAGGGGCAGGCTTCCGCAGAGAGAGCTGCCCTGCCACGTGGCTCAGGCCCTTTCCTAGAACTGTGCCATGGATTTTGTACATGTTCCTTCTAGTGCCATTCCACTAGTAAAAAGACTGGTTGCAAGAAAATGTAAAACTAAAGGAACGATTAAGATAAATATGATCTGTTCTTCAATGAATGGTATCTAGTCACTCACATGAATTCTTTTAAGACTAGATAGAAACATAAAGCAAAACAGGACATTGATTTTAATGCTGATTATTATAGCATTGCAAAAAAATGCATGTGGGAAAAATATACCAAACAGGTAGTAGTAGTCACATGTTAGGTTAATGGGAATATGTGTGTTTCCCCCTAATTTTCTTTATTTTAATTATAAAATGCGGCTTTATTATGTAGACGATTTAAAATAACTCTTCTTCCTAATGCTCAGACCTGGGAGTTGGGGTGGTTTCCAGGAGGCCCCCAAGTCATCACAGATCATATGGCCATAAGGAAGGAAAGACTCACTCAAGAAGTGGGGCCAGAAAAGATCATCAGAGGAAGGGGTTGTTTGAATCAAAAGGGACACCAACCTTCTGGCCGGGGACATGAATTACAATCCCTCATTGTAGCCCAAGATGAGAACTGGGTGCCCACTTGAGCACAGTCAGATCTCTCAGCCTGTTCCCATTGTAGGATACGGCCCTGAAATAGCTGTGAACTGGAAGAAAAGGCTGGCTGTGTCTTCCAGATGGGCACATGTGGCCGGTTCCTCCCAGGCACTGCCCCTCGCTGGCCCCCTCTCATGGCTGTTCTCTGGGCCTCCCTCAGCATCAGCTCCTGAAAGCTCCAAGGGTTTTATTAGGAACCACACTGAGCACTGACCCTGAACTTGATCTTTGCTAAATTCTCCCAAATTAATTTAATGAGGAGTCCCTCTGCCCCCCAGGGAGGTCAGTTTAAAGGCTGTCCTGAGACTCTTCTTTCACAGGGAGGTGCAACAGGGCATTAAGTGGCTTGCTCAGAGAGCCACTGGCACAACTGGAACAGGAACTTTGTGTTCTTGTGCCTCAGAACTTTTCTTAGCTCACTGATCCTGGCCAATGTTTGGAGGGTGGGGGGAGGATTTGTCACTCAAACTCTTCCCTGAGTGAGCAGTCATGCTTCCCTGCACCTGCTTGCTCCCAGAGCTTCCTGGTGTTACAAACCAATGGAGCCCTGCACACTCCTCCAGCTGAAACAGAGGCCAAGGAAGAACGGACTGCTCTGGGGTTCAGGTTCATCAAACTAATCAGACACCTACTCCAGAGGCTAAAATAGAAATTAACTATTGGCTTTGTATTTGTGGATAGTCATTAGCTAAGGCAGATAGAAGCATGCTAGCAGTAAGTTCTTCCTGGAGAGCAAAGGAATGTGAGAATAATGTGAGTGGAGAACCCCAACTGCAGAGGACTGGAGCTAATAATTATCAGAGATGGAAATTACTTACTTTGTATTTAGTACAGGCCCCATGCTAGGTGGTGAGCAAACCCAAGGTGGTCAGATGTCCCATGTGTCTGATACCCACTGTCAGGGACCAGGGATGCTGGTCAGGTAGGCTGATGTGTTGGTATAGTCTCAAGGGAGGGTTTGGACTAGGCTGTGTGGTTTCCTGGCAAGTCCAGATGAAGGCAAAAGGCAGGTACAGACATCATATCCATGCATGGGTGCCCAGGGTCACACCCACTGGTGGGTACCTGCAGAGAAGCCAAAGGAGTTAGTTGGGCCACACTGCCTCTTACCCACCTGCAGGTCTCTGCTTGAGTGCCATTTCCTTCCAGAAACCACCCTTGACTCTCAGGGCTGTGTTAAGCTCCCATGTAATATACTCAGGTGGTAATTGCACCATTCGTAGGTGCGATTGCTTGGCTAATGGTCTGTTTCCATGAAAATAGGGATGTGAGAGGGGGTGCTCTTTATGTTCACCATTGTGTCCTCTGGCGGCACTAACTAGCAGGCTCTCTATAAACATTTAGTTAGCTAATACCCTTGACAGCACTCGCCACATTGTAAGGGGGTAAGGACTTAGGTAATTATTTCTTCACTGTCTTCTTCCTTACCAAACTGCAAATCCTAAGAGCGCAGGAGCCTCCTTTGTTTGTTCTCCATCACATACACCCTCGGTACAGCACTTGCACAGGATGGCAACAATATTGGTAGCAGAAATAAATAATAAGTGAATAAACAAACATGAATAAAGGTCCAAAGATCTGGATGTGGAGAGGGAAAAGAAGACAACACTGAGATGTTAGGAGTTAAATATATCCAAGAATGGAGCTAGGTGACAGGAAAGTGACAATATCCAGGAATTTTGTACCAATGGGTGCAGGATGCCTGGACTCTCCTTTTCAGGTATTGACTGGGTGGTGTGTGTGGTTAAAGGAACAGGGAAGGCAGGCAACCATAGTACAGATGACTGACCAAGTCCGAGAGCCTCTTTATTCTAGAAGGAAAGCTAGGACTGGCTCTGTGGGGCAATGGATAGCACATTGGATTTCTACAAGGAAAGCTAAGCCATTTATTTCCTACTCTGCACGGTATAAAGCTGGGATCCTTTTCTGTTGTATGATGAAGCCTTAAGTGCCTGAAAAGTCTGGGTAGCAAGGGGAAGATGGCTTGGCAACCAGCCAATGCACATGTAAGGTTGGATCCCAGACTCTTGGCTGGAAAATGTAGTGCATATTGCTGAATCCCTGAATCATAAAGGCCGGACTGGTAATGATGCCACCTTCATGTCTGGTAGGTAGAGGCCTTAGTATGCATCATTTGGGGCTGTTCCCGCTGGAACTTCTACTCCCTCTTCTTCCCAGGTGTGAGTGCTCAGGAAGGGTTCAGCAAGGAGAGTGAGGCTGCACTTCACAGCAGGGTGACATGGGTAGACGAGGTCCCTCTGAAAAGCTATGTGAGGCATCTCTCATCTCTCTTTGCAGTAAATCTCTCTCCCTGAATCACGAGACAGTGCTTGCCAGAGTTGGCTGTGAACACAGGGACTCTGTGGAATTTAAGAAAGTGTGGAAACAGTGTGAGTGTTCAGGAAGGATAAACCGAGTTCCAGATGGGAATTGCTGGAACAGTCTTTTTCTGGGCCATCTCTTCCTCCTTCCACTGCCATCCTAAAACTTGTTTTAAAGGGCTGCTTTTATGAAATTCCTTCTCGTCCCAAACTTCTGCTTCCCATCCTCTTGGTTGCCAAAAATGGGAGGAAGAGCGCTGAATTTTTAAAGCAACCACCAGGCCCCCACTGTAACACACACACACACACACACACACACACACACACACACACACACAAACACACACACACACACCAAAACACTTTATCCATTTTTAGTAGGCAAAAAGGGAAAAGAAAAAGCAGGCTTTTGTAATGATCTGTCTTATTGCCCAGTCAATTCATCTGGATGGTGACTGATAGATTTTTAAATAGAGCCTCATAGTTTAAGCTGCCTGCACTGTGATTGACTCAATCTTGTTGCAAAAAAAGTGTTTGTCATTAATACCTTGTAGGGCTCCTTGGAGGGTAGAGGTGGCGTGTGCTGTGCTCAGCTCACCTACAGTAGTTTTCAATTTATTTGTGGTAGTTTGCTAATTTTACCAGTCTTGGGGAGAATAAACCTAAATTTCTCCTTTTATGTGTGTATATGTGTGTGTGTGGGGGGGGAAGGGTGATTTTTCTTTTATTTAGTACTTTAGTCCAAGTCATCCAAGAAAATTTTCAAGATAAATTTACTTACTTTTTTTTTTAGCTCAAATGTCACCAGTGTTGGGCACCTCTATCACTTGACTAGCCTAGAAATAAATGTTGGGCTTCCATAGATTGCACTGAGTTGATGTAAGCTGTTCTCTAATTTGGCTTTAATCACAACAGCAAAAAATGCATCTACAACAAAAATTCCTTAGTGTTTTACAGAATTGAGTCATTTATATCTTCATTCAAATAAAGTGCTCACGATTAAGGGTATGAAATGCTATTTCCAGGCAGGAAGAAAGAGTCATTCCCAAACTTGTGACTCTTTAACATGATCTCGTTCTGTTAATAAAGGGGACCCAGCATATGTGTTTACATGCTGGAGGCATGTGCAGTCATAGACTCACACTATTGTCACACTCTTGTCCTGAATTCAGCTTCCATTGACCTACTTGTGACATGAGTGTGGGTTGGTCACTTCACCTTTCTGGGTGGCTGCTTCCTTCTGTGATACATAGGGTGACTGCACCTACCAGTTTCTAAGGTCCCCTTTAGTTCTGAAGTGCCATGATACTCTAAACAAGGAGGACATTTAAAAGCATCTCATCCAGGGCCAAATCTGATTTTGGCCCACTACTTGATTTTGGATATCTCACAAATTAGGAATGGCTTTTACATTATACATGTGTGAATGTGTGTGTATGTGTGTGTATGTATATGTATTTTTTTTTTTTTTTTTTTTTAAATTGGGTTGTTTGTTTTCTTATTGTTTGGCAAGCAACCTTTTATTGTAAAGGGCCAGATAGTAAGTATTTTAAGCTTATAAGCCATAGGGTCTCCATGGCAACTACTCAACATTGCATTGTAGTGCAAAAGCAGTGTAGACAAACAAGTGAGCATGACTGTGTTAATTCAACTTATTTATGGACACTGAAATATAAATTTCATTATAATTTCATGTTTCATGAAAATACTATTTTTTCACAACCATTTAAAAAATGTAAGTCAGCGCATGGTGGTACACTCCCTATAGTCCCAGCTACTCGGGAACATAGAAAACAACAACAACTTTAGACAAGAGTATGAGGATTATGACGTAGAACATACGTCCACATTAATATAGACAACTTACAACCAGTGATACCAAACTAGAATCCACACATAACAAAAACATATATAATATATATATGAGAGCCTATCCTATAGGAACAATGAACTATAATACATACACAAAAAACGCCACAACAAACGACAGAGTTGGCTGTCATCCTAGCTCTCCACACACACACACAAGCCACGAAGCGGTAGGATTGAAACATTACGAAGGTACAAGCAAGAAGTTCGAAAACCAGCCATAGCAAGACACAAAGAGCAGACCCCAGCCTCAATATAAAATAGACAAGAAATATATGGGCCAACTATATATAACAAAAAACAACATAGCTGGGCATGGTGGAGAATGCTGTAAAGTAAAACCAAGCCTATTGCAGAAGAGGCCTAGAGGCAGGCAAGGAATTAAACTTGAGCCAGGAGTTTCGAGTGCTCGTTGAAGCTAAGGCTACCGCCCGGCCACTCACACCTAGCCCTGGACACAAAGCGAGACTCTGTTCTCAAAACAGAAAAAACAAAAAAATACATAGTACGAGGAGTTA